CTCCGTCCCATGGTTCTGAACGACAGCTCCTCTGTTCCCGAGTACGGATCCTCGGGATCCGCCAACGCCACCGCCCTGGATGTCCCCCCGGGGGCCTGGCCCGGCATCGTCAGCGTCCAGGCCAAGCGGGACAACGGCACCTGGCACATGTGCTCGGGGGCACTCATCGGCCCCCAGTGGGTGCTCACGGTGGCCCGCTGCTTCACCGGGACCGGGTAAGGGACAGCGGGGACAGGGATGGACACATAGCGGGGACGGGGATGTCCCCAAGGCAGGGACAGCGCTGGGATGTCTCTAAGGCTGAGAAAGGGATGTCCCCATAGCAGGGATAGAGATGTCCCACAAGAAGGACAGGGATGTCACCCAACAGGGACAGAGATGTCCCCATTGCAGGGACAGGGATGGCCCCAGAGAAGGGACAGGGATGATCACGGACAGGGATGTCCCCAAGGCAGAGAAAGGGATGGCCCCACAACAGGGACAAGGATGTTCCCATATCAGGGACAGGGATGGCCCCATAGTAGGGAAAGAGATGGTCCCCAGCAGAGACAGGGATGACCCCACAATAGGGACAGGGATGGCCTCAGATCACGGACAGGGATGTCCCCAAGGCAAGGACAGCGCTGGGATGTCCCCAAGGCAGGGACAGGGATGTCCCCAGGGCAGAGAAAGGGATGGCCCCACAACAGGGACAGGGATGGCTCCCAACAGATCAGGGTTGTCCCCAGATCAGGGACAGCTGTGTCCCCAAGGCAGGGTCAGCTCTCGGATGTCCCCAAGGCAGGGTCAGCTCTCGGATGTCCCCAAGGCAGGGTCAACTCTCGATGTCCCCAAGGCAGGGTCAGCTCTCGATGTCCCCAAGGCAGGGACAGCTCTCGATGTCCCCAAGGCAGGGTCAGCTCTCGATGTCCCCAGGGCAGGGACAGCTCTCGATGTCCCCAGCCCGCTCCGCAGCTCTCTGCGCTGCTCCATTCCCGTCTCCTCTCTCCCAAAGCGCTGGGAGCTGCTGGGCTGTCGCCGCCCCGGCCCTGCTCCTGTCACTGTCACTGTCCCTGTGTCCCCAGGGATGTCCGCCGCTGGCAGGTGCTGGTCGGGGCCATCGACCTGATTCAGCCGGACCCCAAGGCCGTGGTGATCGGGGTCCGGCGGCTCCTGGTGCACGAGGAGTACGAGGCGGAGTCGAAGTGGAACAACATCGCCCTGCTGGAGCTGGAGCAGCCCGTGCAGTGCAGCGACTACATCCAGCTGGCCTGTGTGCCCGACAGCWCCCTGGCAGTGCCCGAGCTGAGAACCTGCTACATCGCGGGCTGGAGAGCCACCCCGGACAGTGGTCAGTGCCACCCCGGAGAGTGATCTGTGCCAGACCGGGCAGTGGTCAGTGCCGCAGTGGGCAGTGCCACCCCAGAGAGTGGGCACTTCCATCCCGGGCAGTGGTCAGTGCCACCCTGGATAGTGGGCAGTGCCATCCCGGGGAGCGGGCAGTGCGAGCCCGGACAGCGGTCAGTGCCAACCCGGAGAGTGATCAGTGCCAGCCCAGGCAGTGGGCAGTGCCACCCTGGAGAGTGGGCAGTGCCACCCTGAGAAACGCCACTCCGGGCAGTGGGCAGTGCCATCCCAGAGAGTGAGCAGGGCCACCCCGGATGGCGGTCAGTGCCAGCCCGGACAGCGGTCAGTGCCACCCTGGGCAGGGGGCAGTACCATCCTGGAGAGTGGGCAGGGCCACCCTGAGAAACGCCACCCTGGACAGCGGTCAGTGCCATCCCAGAGAGTGGTCAGTGCCAGCCCGAATAGTGGCCAGTGCCACCCGGGAGAGTGGGCAGTGCCACCCTGAGCTGATGGCCACCCAGTCCCATCCCGGCCATTGGGCACTGCCACCCCAGAGAGTGGGCAGTGCCACCCCGGACAGCGGTCAGTGCCAGCCCGGACAGTGTTGGGACCCCAAGTGGGACGTGGGGGCTGGGGTTGAATTGGGAACCACGAGGAAACAGCGGGACAGTGGCAC